CACGAGGTAACCGGCATTTGCCATTACATTTTTATTCAAGTCTTGCAGGTCTTTCCCTTCTGGGTATTTAAGCTTCTTCAAGTTAACTGAATTAGCATCTGTTTGATTTTATTCTTAAATCAACAATGCCAATTTCTTTGTTGAAAAAGAAAATGTGATTATCCCAAAAACAGCCCTAGCTGTTAGTGTTGGCACTGATAATTGACTGCCGAAAGGGGGATTAAGCAAAACAACGAGTTCAACTTCCTTTTGTTTTGCAGCTGGAATTTTCCTAGATGTGAGAAATTGGCCACCATTTTTCCTAATGATTCACCATGATACTGCAAATGAGATACCAGATTATCTTCAATGAATGCAATATGTAGCTTTCTCTACATTGTTAGGTAAGCGCCTTCTCAAATACACAGCTCAGATTTGATTATTAGGATTTTACTTGAACATAAATTTTTAAATGTAAATATCTAAAAAACTAATGATACCTGATAGCACTAGGATTCAAATATGATGAATGGTAATCTTATGCAGGATTGGCGCTGTGCCTTTTCTGGAATAGCTTAGCTGTTTCCGCAGCAAGCATCAAAGGGAAAGGTTGGATTCGAAAGATTCTTCTTATCTTTCTTGTTTATCAATTTTAATCTATTGTTTAGATTCTGCTGTTTAATCTACGAACATTTTCATTTAGGCACAAATATCTTGTTCCTCGGCTTCATCTATTTCATGCTAGGGGTACCAGGAGCTTATATATTGTGGTATCGTCCACTTTATTGCGGTTGCAGGTACTAAAACCTGTTTGATCATTTTGGTTTGAACTGAATTATGTTCTTCATTCTGTTACCTTATCACTTTATGATCATCTTGCAGGAAAGATAGTGCGTTTAAATTTGGATGGTTTTTCATATTTTATATGGTACTGTATTTTATGTATCTGGTGATCCTTTTCTCCCCGCAAGAGTTGGTAACTTCCTAACTATTTCATACCATATTTTCTACTTGCAGATACATATCTGCTTCTGCCACTATGCTATGGTTGCTCCTCCTGTAATTTATCATGGGTTATCATTAACATAAGTTCCTAAAATTTCCAGCCTTCCTCAAATTGATAGAACTGGCCAGGCCCTTTGTCTTTATTTGTAACAACATCAATGGTCTGCGGTAGTGGAGCTGATGGTGTGAACCAAAAAATATTAATTATTTCGTTTTCCTCTTAACTGATGCAATAAACTCGAGGACAAGTTTAGGGGGTTGAAAGGTCAATTTTTCATTTTCCATACCATCTTGATTATGACTTAATGTTCTGCTGCGGCTGCTTCAGGGGAGTCTTGAGTGCATTGTACCTTATTACCGACGGCTATGCGTTTATTGGGGTAAAGACACCCTGAGCCTCAAGATACTCGACTCTTTTTAGATCTTTGTTTCGTATATCATTTCTTCTCTTCAAGTCTTGATTGAAAGCATAACTTAAGAGAACATGGCTTGTAGTGCTGCATCCTTGACCAGATCCATTTTTCCTTTGCTTTGTGCAGATCCTCTACTTCATTGGGCTTGGATTATTCTTTGTTGAGTCGCTGTTCAGCATCTGGGTCCTAGAGGTCTGATCAACACTCAAACTCAATATCTCTTGCTGCATTGATTATTCGATTTATCAGGGATCTCTAACATCATTAATTTTACATTTTTCCCCCTCCATTTTCTTACAGAGAGCATATGTCACGGGGCGATGCTTAAGACCACCCTCCGTGCGGCCTTGGATTCAGCCCTTAGCTCGGTAGTAGAACCCAAGTCAGCCTTACTCGCCCAACAAGCACTCAACACTCCCACACAATGGCTTTAAGCCGGCAAGCAAGCTTGCATAAGCAAGGAAGGAAAAACGGGAAGAGAATGCCAAAGAGAAAAACTAAGCTTTGTATTGAATGAATTGAAATACAATGGATTCTAATGGATGATTTACACTAAGGAGGATGGGGTTATTTATAGCCAAGGTTTCCCACCCATTTCCCTCCAAAATTTTCCCTCCAAAGGATTTCCCTCCAAAAGTTTTCCCTCCAAAACCATTTGGAAGGGAAACTAAAGTTTATAGAAGCTCCCTTGGGAGGGAAATCCGACAGCCCCTCATGTGGGTCTGGTGGGCCGCACCCCTCTCGGGCCCCCCTGGTGTGACTGGGCCGCGCACAGGCTGTGTGCCTGGGCGGCTGGCGGGCTGGCGCGCAGAGCCCCTCGTAGGCGGTCTGTCTGGGCGCTGTGCAGGCCTGCTTGCTGCACTCCTGCCGAGCCATCTTGCGGGTTGCGCATCTGCGTGCCGCGTTCTGTCGGGTAGGCGGTCTCAGGCCTGCGTGCCGCTCGCCCATGGTGTGCGGACCCTCGTGCCGCGCACCCTTGCTGGCCAGAGGCCCTCGACCTGTGTACTGTGTGCCCATGTTCTGCGTCCTTACATGCCACAAACCCCTGCTGGGCCGGCGGCCGCGGGCCTGCGTGCCGCGCGCACATTCTGTGCGCCCCCTCGTGCTGTGCACGCCTACTGTGCGGGTTGGCACCCCTGCACGCGTTCTGTCGGGCTGACTCGCCCAGGGTCCTGCGCCTTGCGCTCCTGCCACCTTCCAGTCGGGCTGGCTCGCTCATGGGCCTGCGCCGTGCGCCCTTGCCAGCATCCTGTCGGCCTGGCTCGCCCATGGGCCTGCGCCGTGCGCCCCTGCTAGCGTCCTGTCGGGCTAGCTCACCCAGGGGCCTGTGCCGTTTGCCCCTACTGCCATTCCGTCGGGACGGCTCGCCCAAGGGCCTGTGATGTGCGCCCTTGTTGGCTCCCTGCCGGGCTGGCTCGCCCGGGGGCCTGTGCCATGCACCCCTGCTGGCACCTCGCACTTGCCTTCCGCTATCAAGTGAGGGTTTGCTCTCAGCAATACTTCCCCCACATATCGGCACCTTGGGACACCCTCGGGCCACCTTTAAGGCGTGGAACTGCGGTCCGTGACACATACAGATGCTTCGGTGGCACTGGTAAGGCTGCAGAGGCAAAGCGTAGTGCTGCAAGAGGAACAGCAATGGCAGCAATAAGCTAAGCAGAATCAAGTAAGATAGCAACCTCATGAACGGATATTTCCTTACCCAATCTACTAAAAGAACCAGATTAAGAGTCCTGAGATTGCTTGTAAGAAAGAGACTCATGTAAATTGGTATGACCTGACAACTTGCTATTTTGCTGCATAAATTTGCATTATGAAAACTTTGATCCATTTTCTATCCAATGTACAGGTTATTGTTTGTTTGATGATCCATTTTCAACATGTAATGTTCAAGATTAAAGCTTTACACTAACCACAATTATTTTTATTCAGACAAGCCAGTGTTTCAGTTGAGACTAGTTCAGTTAAGGAGTGCAAATATTCCCTTGCAGTTCCATATTTCTTGATAGCCGTATGAAAGTTTTCAATAGTTTGATCTTTGATGCTTATCGCATTGGATGTGGAAATCGATGTTATAGCCTTGTAGCAGGAGTTTTTACCTGGCTTCTTTCCATGAATGAATACAGTTGAAAAATCCAAAAAGGAAAGAAAAGATTATGGCCTTGTGGGACATGATTGTCTTCAGATTCTTCTATAAGCCTGTACAATGATTGCTAATAAAAGTCATACACTGTTGCAGAATTCGGAGGCAATCCCCTTGGGAGCTTCAAGTCTTTAAAGAGCGATGGAATTAAACAGTAGAAGAGGACAAGAACTGGGTGGATCCATTTGTAAGATATCAAAGGCGCCGAAAACATAAAACGTCACCAAACTTAAAGTTTTTAACTCAGGACCTCACCAAGCAGCTGGTTGGATACGTAAGTTTGGCTTCTTCACATACAGATACAGCAGTCTCTCATCTATACTTGTATCTTAATTCCTCTAGCCTTTGGTGGATGGATGCTCATAATTTGAAATCCTCATAATTGTGTTCCCTTGCTTCGGAATTTGTCTAATATATTTAGCAATACAAGTTTTTTTTTTGCAATTAATTCGGATAAACTATACATACATATATATATATATATATATATATATGAGTTAATTCATGCAAGCCATCATTTGATCATCATCTCTATCTCTAGATTAAGAGATTAAAACCCATTCTTTGCCTCAATAAACAACTTAAAACCTTTGGGTCAAGTAATTTTACACAACCCAGTGTTTGTAATGGGTTTGTACTTAATGTAAATCAAGCTCAAGCTCAAGGGTTTTAGAAATTAAAAGCTATTCTTGAATTCTCAGTTCTGTGATGAAATGGCGATATATGCAGTATTATTCCTATTACATACCTTTGGGTGTTTGTATTTGTTGCTTTGGATTTGGATTGCATTCATTTGTCCTTGCCGCACGACAATGTACAAGAGAACGATCGAGGCCTTCTGTGTTCCTTACAGAGATGAAATGTATTAATACTTCAATTCCATTAAAGACAGACAGATCATACCACACTATATTTACTTATGTTGTATAAGATTGGTCCTTGTCATACGATAATGTACAAGCGAATAATGGCCACAACAATGTTCTACGCTTGACTTGCTTGGAAAATATTAGTTTATGGCTCCAGATAGCTAAGAAATTTACATAGGCAAGGTTGCTCGCTTGTAAGAATAGACTATGTGTTTTCTTTTGAAATAACATGGCAGATAGTTCCAAGTCACTCTCCTTCAGAAACAATGAAACAAGCTATAAAACATAAGGTTTCTTCGATCAATCCGATGTCTTTCAGAAAAGCCAAGGAAATTATACTATGTTATCTGCTTTTCTTGCCGTCCTTCTCATTTCTGAACACCCTTTGTGCTTTACATCAACGGAAATGGTACATCTGAATGAAGACAAATCAGTTCAAATCGTTTCTTTTCTCTCTATATACAGAGCATTTCTCTCCGCAAAGAAAATGTTGCCTTTAACTCAAATTGCTACTTATACAAATTAACTTGCATTTCTCCCTCCTTCTAAAATTGAGCTTTGGTCTGTCTCTATAGAAAGACGTAAGCTATCATGGCTGGTAACCGAGATAGGAACCCTTTTGATGAGGAAGAAGTAGACAACCCTTTTTCTGTGAGTTTCGTTTCGTTTCTTTCGACTATATGTATATATGTATGCATGGAAAAGTAGGATTATGCTTCTTTACGTGCAACAAGCTTGCTAGCTGATTTAAATTTGCACGTAATTCAAGCATGCATCAACCAATTACCTATACGTGCATAATCTACTTAGGAATTTTGAATCCCAACAACTCTTTGATCCCGGTTAATTGAGTTTTAATTAAGAGAATTTCTATTTTCAACAATAAATTGATCTTTCGTTAGTTTTCTTTAAAGAGCATTGGTGGTTTTGGTGATTATATATGTTGTAAGCTTGTAATCTTTCGTTTGGTTTTTTGGGTTTTCCATGCAACGATTTGCTTGGATAATTGGTGAACTTCCAGAATCCTACACATTATTCACACTCAACGCTTCCAGCTCTTGCTCCTGAACCTGCCAGCTACAATTATGATCGCAATCCAGCCATTGACATTACTCTTGATAAAGCAACGGTAAATTAGGACCCAGTTTTCTGGTTTTTGGGGAACTGAGTTTGTTATATGCTTGCTATTTATATAATGCCATTAAACTGGACATTCAGTTTTCTCTGATCATACCCTGCTTAAAATGTAGAATTTAAAGCAGAAAGAGAGAGAACTCCAGGACAAGGAAGCTGAAATCAGAAGGAGGGAGGAGGTAATACCTTTACAGTTGCGTTCAAAACTTTGAATGAATGTAGATTCTAAACTATCATAGACTAATGATTTTTGGAGCATGCTAAAACTTTGATTTATCATGTGGAACATATATATATATATATATATATATATAAGTAGCAAGATACAGATATTATACAATGGCCTTAAGCACTAGGTGAATCATTCATTGCCCTTGTCGAAAATTCTAACTCATCAGCTTCATTTGAGTGCATGCAGGTAGTTAAAAGGAAAGAAGAAGCTCTAGCACGAGGTAACCTGCATTTGCCATTATATATTTTTTTAGTCTGCAGGCCTTTCCTTCTGGGTATTTGAGCTTCTTCAAGTTAAGTGAATTAGTCTATTATCCTTAAAGCAGCCTTAGCTGTTAGTGTTGGTGCTGATGATTGACTGTCCGAAAGGGAATTAAGCAATACATAAAGTTTAACTTCTTGCTGTTTTGCAGCTGGAGTTTTTCTAGATGTGAAAAATTGGCCACCAGTTTTCCCAATCATTCACCATGATATTGCAAATGAGATACCAAATTATCTACATCGAATGCAATATGTAGCTTTCTCGACATTGTTAGGTAAGCGTCTTCTCAAATGCACAGCTCAGATTTGATTAGCACTAGGATGCCTAGGATGCTAACAGGATAGAATGATGAATGGTAATTTTATGCAGGATTGGTGCTTTGCCTTTTCTGGAATGTCATAGCTGTTTCCACTGCAAGCATCAAAGGGCAAGGTTGGATTAGAAAGCTTCTTGTTTTTCCATTATAATCTGTTGTTTAGATTCTGTGTGTTTAATCCTAGAACATTTTCATTCAGGCATATATATCTGGTTCCTCGCCGTCATCTACTTCATGCTTGGGGTTCCAGGAGCCTATATACTGTGGTATCGTCCACTTTATCGCGCTTGCAGGTACTAAAACCTGCTTGATCATATTGGTTTGAAATTTGAATGATGTTCTTCATTCTGTATACCTTATCACTTTATCATCTTGCAGGAAAGACAGTGCGTTTAAATTCGGATGGTTTTTCATGTTTTATATGGTAATGTACTTTATGTATCTGGTGATTCTTTTTTCCCCCCAAGATTGGTAGCGTCCTAACTATTTCATACCATGTTTTCTACTTGCAGATACATATCTGCTTCTGCATCTATGCTGCGGTTGCTCCTCCTATAATTTATCAGGGGTTATCAATGCCGTAAGTTCCTTAAAATTTCCAGCCTTCCTCAAATCGATAGAACTTGTCAGGCCCTTTTGTCTTTATTTGCAACATCATCAATGGTCTGAAGTACCGGAGTTGAGGGTGTGAAGCAAAAAAGATTAGTTATTTCATTTTGCTCTTAACTCTTGCACTAAACTCGAGCTCAAGGTTCGGGGTTGAAAGGTTGATTCTTGATTATGACTTAATGTTCTGTTGCTGCTGCTGCAGGGGAATCCTGAGTGCAATGTATCTTATGAACAAGCACGATGCTCTTGTTGGGGTAAAGGCACCCTGAGCCTCAACATACTCAACTCGTTTAAAATCTTTTGTTTCATCGTTTCTTCTCTTCAAGTCTTGATTGAAAGCATAACTTAATAGAACATGGCTTGTAATGCTGCAGCCTTGACCAGATCGATTTCTACTTTGCTTTGTGCAGATCTTCTACTTCATTGGGTTTGGATTATTCTGTGGTGAGGCACTGTTAAGCATCTGGGTCCTTCAGGTCTGATATCAACACTCAAATTCACCTACTCTTGCTGCATTGATTATTCGATTTACCAGGGATCTCTAACATCATTATTGATTAATTCTACTCTTCTTTCTTGCCCCAATTTTCTTACAGAAAGTATACAGGTACTTCCGTGGCACTGGTAAGGCTGCAGAGGCAAAACTCAGTGCTGCAAGAGGAACAGCAATGGCAGCAATGACCTAAGCAGAACCAAGTAAGGCAGCAACCTCATGCATGGATATATCCTTAGCCAACCTCATGCATGGCTTTTGTAAACAAAGCGTCTTTTGTAAATCGCCATGACCTGACAGCTTCCTATTTTGCTGCAAAAACTTGCCCTATGAAAACTTTGATCCATTCTCCATCCCAATGTTCAAGTTATCGTTTGTTTGATGATTCATTTTCAACTGTAATAATGTCCAAGAAACATAAAGAATCGTTTTTATTCAGACAAGACAGTGTTGCAGTTGAGATTAGTTTAGTTAAATACTACAAATATTCCCTTTCAGTTCTATATTTCTGTACTTCTTCAAGTCTGCATGCATGACGTCACATTCATAAAAATAAAAATAAAAATAAAAAAAAATTAAATATTATTTTTTCTTTAAAAAGAAATATTGATGCAAATCGAAAGGGACGTTATTCTAGAACAACGAATGGAAGACGCCCCAAACGTTACGTTTCGACGATGCTGTTTCCATTCTTTCTTTGTGTAGACAAGTCAACTATTTCTATTTTTAAATGTCCTTTTTTAAGTTAATTAATTAATTCCTTTTGATTTTTCCAATCTCTTGAACCAAAAACTCATTTTCATATTCGACATTTTAGTATTAAAAACACATTTCCTTTCGCCATCATTAATAATTAATGCCCTCATTTTAATTTTAAATTACAATTAAAAATTGATAAATACAAAAAAACTTACAAACAACTAAAGATGAATTTTCCGTCAACATGATCTTTTATCGATATTTAATTGATTAATGATAATTTAAATTCTGTAAATTATCGTGCCACCGATTTTAATATTTCAGTCCAAACAAGGCATAGGAATAATCGGTCGGCTGTGGTTCAAAAACTGAAAAATCAATTTAATAAATAAATCATTTATGCAAAGAAAAGACAAAAAAAGAAGGGAAAAGTTGTCATAGCAGTAATGTAAGAAGGGGAAGATTATTCTATTTTTTTCCCGCTGTTCCTGTTAATTTCTTTTTCGGCCAACTTCGACAGGTGAGAACAAGCTGACTGACCGAAAAGTCCAACTTCTCTTTCTCTGTCTATCTCTTTTCATACAGCGAAAGCAAGTTTCTCTCTCTAGAAGGATTCGCCTTCGCTTTGTAAGAAGGGGAAAATTTTTTCTTCTTTCAAATTCTTAGCTTGAGTAATTCAATTTGCTTCTTCAACAAGTTTCTCTTTTTCTCTCTCTCTCTATAGTTTAGATCTTCGTTATATTAATCATATATCCTATTTCCGGTTTGTTTGTTTTTTTTTTAAGTTTTTACAGAGGAAAAAGAAGAAAACCCTACGCTGATGGCTGGTCGTTACGATAAAAATCCTTTCGATGAAGAAGAAGAAGTTAATCCTTTCGCGGTTAGTTTCTCTTTCTCTTTTCTCTCTCTTTTCATTTTATGGCTTTATTTTTGTTTCTGTTGGTAAACGATGTTTTGGTGGAGTTGAAGTTTTGAAGTTCAATTATGGTGTCTCTGTTGCTGTATACTTGGGGAATTTGAAATTCTCTAGCGCTTTGGTGAAAGGTTTAGGAACGGAATATCCGTTGACTTGTGATCGCTTCGAGATTTTAATTTGATCTGAAATTTCGGTTTAATTCGGTTTTGGAAAGTGTTTTACTTGGTTGTTGTAGCTGATGTGATGGCTTAAGTGACTTCGGTGTTTTCTTGTTAATGAAGATGTATTAAATACAGTACAAAATTCATTCAAGCGTGTTCAATTATTGAATCCATCATCAATTTGTTTAACAAATAAGCAGTTTCCTAGTGCCAAGGCATTATGCTTTTCTGCTATTGTTATTAATTTTGAGAAAGTGATTTGGATAATGTTTTCAGCATGTTTTTTTCAATCATATATCTATGATATTCGGAGAGAAATAATTTCTTTTCTTAAGTGTTAACTCTTTCGTTAACCTATATTCTTCAAAATGTGCAATTCCTGCCGTGGTGATTAGGCAGAAGGGGAAATTCATATTTGCACTTAGGTGAACCTTAGTCCATGTAATGCAGAATATGACATGTTATCGGGCTTTATTACTTGATTTATCTGTCCAGAAGTTAGTCTATGGATGCTGTACAACTTCTCTTCTAATATGATCTTTTTTTTTTTAAATTAATTTCTACCAGGATCCAGCAGTGAGAGGGAAGGCATCTGGGCAGTCTAAATTTGGTGGGGGTCTATTTTCAATGGTAAGCTAAATTATTGTTTCTAAAATTTCAAGGGAACTGTTTAAGAACATTTTTCTGATTTGTTAATGGGTGAAAGGTGTGGAATTTAGCATGTGGATTTGGTTGTTTGTCATCCTCTGGATGTCTGTGGAGATTGCCTCTTATCTGGTTATCAACTCTGTTTTGGAAGGCTAGGTTTTGAGTTTATCTTTTAGACATGGATGCTAAGTAGTTACCAATGCAATCTAAAACCATAGCTTTACGTGATTTTGTTCTAAACTACCACTTTTCAACCCCTTGGGCATGCTGAATTTCCATATTTTTCTACTAGGTTGCAAGAATTTGATAACTAAATTAACCTAGGGCCTGAGTTCTCTTTATAATGCTGATAGTTTTGGGAGTTAGCTTGCACTTGCTCAACGCTTATAATGATCTAATTCAGAAAAAATAGGTTGCTTGCTATATATGTTGTGATATGGTCATGTACGGAAAAATTTTCTTATGTTACATGCTTCTTGAATGCATATTGTCAATTAATTTTCAGAATAATCCAACCGCTCCACCTGCATCAAACTCTAGACTTTCACCACTACCTCCTGAACCTGCTGGTTTCAATTATGATCGCGAGGCAACAATTGACATTCCTCTTGATACATCTTCAGGAGGATCAAACTATCAGGTTGGTGAAGACCTGTCTCTAAATTCTATTTGCATAATTTGGTTCATTGTTGAAACTCATTTTTCTGGTTTTACTGTTCAAATCTAGGATTTGAAGAGGAAGGAGAAGGAACTCCAGGCTAAGGAGACTGAATTGAGAAGGCGGGAGCAGGTATGTTGTGGATGAGATTGTATGATTTTGAATTCATTCTTATTCTACAGGATCATGGACTTGATTGTGTTCTCTCAATTTGCTCCCAAAGATGTGTTATTACAATTTTAGAATCTGATGTAACAAAAGCCAAATATATCTCAATAGTTCTTGTCCTAAAAATAACTATTAAGACACTATTAGGCTTGTAGTGGGATATGTCTTTTGTGTTATCTCTGTCTATTTTAACATACTAAGTTATTGGGATGGTTTTAAGTTACAAGTTTGCATTCATGCATGTTTGTTTCATAAATAAATAGCAAGAACTTTATTTTGTTTACTGCCCTTTGGCACCTCATAAATCATTGCATCCCTGCAGTTTTCACTGATCAGCTTAATCCATGCAGGAAGTGAAACGGAAAGAGGAGGCGGCGGCAAGAGGTACCTTTCATTTTTCTTTTTATAATTTGACTAGTCACACTGTTCTATAACTCTTAGGTGTTTGAGTCTCTCCAGGGCTACTGAATTGGTTGGTTTGATTTTAGTTTGAGATCTGGATGTTCATGTTGTAGTCAATGGCATCTAATCCTCACCTTTAATTAATAGTAAAAGAAAGAAGTGACTGTCTTTGATAAGCATTTGCTGAGTCTAGGTCTGCTGTCTCTTTATTTTTGCTCATAGATTCAATATTTGTTCTAGGTCACATTCTTTTGCCAAATAATTTGACCTGGTTCTATTTTCTTTTATGGTCAATCACTCTTACATTTCTGCCATGAACTAGAGTTTGACTTCTCTGTTTTGCAGCTGGTATTGTTCTGGAAGAGAAAAATTGGCCGCCATTTTTTCCCATCATTCATCATGATATTGCAAATGAAATACCAATTCATCTACAAAGATTGCAGTATGTTGCATTTTCGACATTTTTAGGTAAGTCTTTTGTGGACGCTAATTGCTACTTTGTTTGTTCTTTTGTTCTATGCATAGTGCATCTAAGCATTGCTCAATGTGTGTTATTGTTGGGAAAAAAAATTTTGTGTCATATTGATATGAAGTTGTATTCATTGATAGATTGCATTGGGTGATTATTTGTACCATGCTTTTACTTTGTTAACTCTTTAGTTGCAAAAATCTTTGGTGTAAGCCAATGGATGACCGACAGTTGGGTGCTGTGTGGTGATTCGATGCAGGATTGTGTCTGTGCCTTCTATGGAACATCATAGCTGTTACTGCAGCATGGATCAAAGGGGAAGGTTAGTTTAGAAATGTATTTCCTTATTTCTTGTTTTTGCTTTGAATATAAAGATTATCTTGTTTTGCCTTATTTATTATTGTTCAGGTGTGAGGATCTGGTTCTTGGCTATTATCTACTTCATAGCAGGGGTCCCAGGAGCCTATGTATTGTGGTATCGCCCACTGTATCGTGCTTTTAGGTACATAACATACTCCAATCTTTTTCTAGTATCGCTATTCATTTTTGCCCTTTTTTCTTTTAAATGTTGGATTGGCTCCAACGCCAACTTCTGTTACTGGTTTCTTAATCTGGCTGTTCATGTTCCTTGCACTTGGTAATCAGCCCATATATTAATTTGAATTATTTTCTTACCTTATGACTATTATGTAGGAATGAAAGTGCTTTGAGGTTTGGATGGTTCTTCCTTTTTTATTTGGTAATATCTCTTGTTTCTTCTGATAGTTATGTTTCTTTTCTAGGAGTTGGTAGATATTGATTCTTTTATTCCTCTTTTTCCGTGTTTATAGCTACACATCGGCTTTTGCATCTTTGCTGCGGTGGCTCCCCCTATTGTTTTTAGAGGGAAATCACTCACGTATGTTCCTAAACTGTTTTTAACTTATCTTTGGCAATCTTTAGTGAAGTTGGACAAAAGTGATTTGCATCTATCTGTTTTTATTTGCAAGTACATCAGTGCATTGGGGTAGACATGATGCACTGTGGACATAGTATCCTACAAAAAATTCCATTTTCCATATTTGGGAATCTTCTATTTCAAATATGAGATACCGATTAACTATTATCTTAGTGGCATGCCAATATACTACAAGTGTTGGAGATGCAAAGTTGGTATTGTACTGCAATTTTTTGTCCCTATATCTTACTAATGCTGTTTT